TAATAGCCTATCGAGGCGACCTAATTACGATAGCGAAACCTAATATATTAATTCTCTATTTCCAACCCTGTAGTATAAGATTGCTATAGACCTTGCTATAAAGTAGGCGTAGGATAAGCGGACTTCCGGACCCCGCGGCGGCAACAAATACTATAGCGGAGTTGTCGTTCTTCTAGTATACGTTAAAAAGGACGTAGATCGCTCGAGCTATAACGACTCGATTGAAGATATTACTATCTATAGCGACAGTACTATAGAAGAGGTTGCAGTTAATCCGGCTACTAGTACTATTAGATATATACAATGCGTACCTCGTTCGATAGCGAGGGTGCTATTAAATAACCTTATAAATAGGGATAGTTAATCGTTTATAGATAAGCTGTTACGTGCTTAGTAGAGGGACGCCTTTGCTATCGAGCGTATTAATAGGCTTGTAAGTAGGCAGGCGACCCGATCTAGTAAGAGTAATAACAATTAGTCGATCGACGACAAAGGTTACTTAAAGTTTAAGGGCAGATACTATATCCCCGCTAAACAATCGATTAGACAAGAGCTTTTAAAGAGGCACTATAATAGTAAACTCGCTAGTTACTATAGTATAGAGAGGTCGTACGAGTTACTATCGCGTATATACTACTAGCCGAATAGTAAGCGGTATATAAAGGAGTATATACAGACCTATGCAGTATGCTAGCGAGTTAAAGCACTAAAGCACTTACTATTTAGCGAGTTGTCTTTACTCCCTGTTCTAAAGAAGCTATTTGCAGAGCTTACAATAGATTTTATTATAGGTCTTCCCCCTACTAAGCGAAGAGGAAGCAAAGACATCTTTAACGCTATCCTAGTCGTCGTAGACTAATTTACTAAAGGCACTCGTTACATCCCTACTAGGAAGGATTAGATAGCTATTAACTTAGCTAAGTTACTATAGAATAACATCTTCTGCAGCTATTAGGGAACCCCTAAGGGGATAGTCTCTAACCGAGGCTCGACATTTATATCTTACTATTAGAGTAAGATATGCCTATAGCTAAGACTTAAGCATCGCCTGTCTATAGCATTCTATCTACAAATAGATAGCTAGACCGAGAGGCAGAATGCTACGCTATAGCAGTACCTGCACAGCTATATTAATAAGAACCCTAATAACTAGGTTAATCTCCTATAGCCTATAGAATTCGTATATAACAACAGTATACACTTATCTACTAAGGTTTCACTATATATAGCTATAATAGGCTAGAACGCCGCCTTACTATAAGACCTATTTACCTCGCTCGAGGCCGAGCGTAAGGAAAGGGAAGCGCGTTAAGTACTAACACCTAAGACGCTAGCGGCTATTAAGAGGGGTTAAAAGATGCGAGAAATTTACGCTATAATAGCTAACAAACTAGCAAAGGCCTAGGCCTATTAGAAGGCCTACTATAATAAACACTATACGCTAATAACCTTCAAACAAGGCGATATAGTTATGCTTAGTACGAAGAACCTCCGTATCCGTAAACACCTATTACCTAATAGCAAAACATGCCCTAAACTAGTACTAAGGTACATTAGTCTATTCCGCATTCGAGAAGTTAAGGGCTCCTCCGTATAGGCCTATTAGTTATAGCTCCCTCCTTATTATACTATCTATAATACCTTCTATATATCCCTCCTTAAGCTATATTACCTACGCGAGGGGGATGAAGCCCCTACTAAACACGAAGACATACTAGCGGATAGTAAAGAGCTATAGTCTATAGAACGTATTCTAGATTATCGGACTAGGCGAGGCAAGAAGGAGTACCTCCTAAGATAGCAAGGCTATTTACCTAAATAGGACTCGTAGGAGGCCGAAGACTCGTTTAAGGATATAACTAAGTTGTTAGATAAGTATTAGACTAGTGTAAAGAACAAGAAGAAGGCTAAGGGCCTATAATGTCGCCTAGGAACAATGCTACCCCTAGGGTGCTATTAGCTAACTAATTAGAGGCTAGCAAACTAGGACAATAAGACTATACTAGGCGCGCTACGACGCGTCTATTAATTAATCGTATACTCTTTTAAGGACTCTACCTCTTTACTAACGCGCCCTATAGGTCCCCCTCTTGTTCCCTTATTCTATCGGGGCCTCGAGGCCTAGGCAATCGGCGAAGACGGCGCGGCCGGCGCGGCTATATTAGTAACGGTATTGCGGAGTGTATTATTAGTTAAAAAAGGAGATTAGAAGCGAGGTAAAGTTAGCGCCAAGACGACTAGCGCCGCTATTGTTAACATTACTTACTATTATTACTGCATCTGCTAAGACAACCTTACCTATACTACGAGCCTAAGGCACCTTTAATTAAAACTTTAATCAAAACTTTAAGCCGCCTAAAAGATTAAGCCTATTAAGGGGTTAATTAAAACTTTAAGGCTAAGTTAAAGCTTTAAGCCGCTTAAAAGATTAAGTAGACTAGTAGACTAACTAACTAAGGGCAAAAACTATAGAGCTAAGCTAGCCGGGGTCGATCTTGCGGATAATAGGTTACTCCTCGATCTATCTAACCCTTTAAGCGAGGCGAACCTCTACTACTGCACTTATAATAGCCTTTACCTATAGAAACTAGACGAGCTGTATTTTTTGAAAAGATAAGATAAGATTAACACTTAAAGGCTACTAAACCTAGCTAATTAGGGCTAGCGAAACTACGAACAATAAGAACAATAACCCTCGGAAACGGACAAACCCTCGGAAGCGGACATTACTAGGTCTTTTAAGAGTAGACGCAAAGAACTCGATACGATATTACTTAGAACGGAGGCAGTGCTACAATACCTCGTACGTCTACCTATTGCAGTAGGGAAGACGCGCTTGTATTGTAATTAGTCGAAGGCCTTTAATTCTTATAGATATATATTACTTTATAGTTCATTATATATAGAGATAGCGCAGTTAGAGTTATATATTGTATTATTAGAGGTGAGGTTTAACATAGTTACATAATTAGGTAGTTAAGTGTTTAATTTAGCGCGGGCTAAGTAGCTTATTAGACCTGCTAAGTTAGCAGCAATAGAGGTTGAGACTAGGACAAAGACCGGCTACGAGGGCGCGGCCTTTAGAAGGGAAGCGTATATTAGGGCTAAAGAGGCTACACGTAATTAGCATATAACTAGGCCGAGTAAAGCTAGGGTCTTAATGCCTTAGGTAGGGCTTAGCGCTTAGCGTTAGGCTAACTCTCCTACCTTCCTCCCTCTCCTCCTAGTTCCTTATCGAATACTACTTGTACCTACTACTACCCTATCTACCTGCTAACATACCCTTCTTATAGCCTTATATATAGCGCTAAACTAATATACCCTTAAGGGCGCCTTTAGCGGCATATAACTATAATAGGTAGTTCTCCTTATTCTTTAGCTTAGGAATGTTGCTTATATAAGCGCTAGATATTATAGGGGAAGCTATTGCAGACAGCGACGGCGATAATATAGAAAGAGACTATAGACTTGTCTTAAGAGGCAGCTAATAGGCGCGCCTATGTTTTAGTATAGCGGATAGCTAATACTAATATTAGGAACTAGTATAGCGGACAGCTAATACTAATAGTAACTAACTCGAGTCGGACTAGTACCTACTAGAGTACTCGAGGGCGGCGGCGGCGACGGTATTAGTATTAGCGCAATTTTTAGTAATAGGCGCTAGCTACGTAGTAGTCGGATTAACTATTAGAATATATGTTATATACGTTAGAAACGCAGGGGGCTTATAACTACTTAATATAACTAATATATTAGAAGAAGGACTAATCTATATAGAAGTCCGAAGATAGAGTGCAGCAGTTGCAGCCTTAGGCATTAGGCACGTAATAGACCCTAACACCTAGGCATACACTCCAAGTTTTGTAGCTAAGCTTTAGGCCGGCGCAAGCTACTACAAAACACTCGAAAGAAATATTTTGCCCGCAAGACGACACTTAGTAAGCAATATAAGGTTGCGAAGGCCTGTTTAAGCTGCTACTAGTTCAACTCTACAAACTTGAGTCTAGTAATCTCGGCTATTGATTGCTAGAAGATAAGTTAATTAGTATGTCGTAACCTCCTGCTACCTCCTTCTTAGGCTCTCTATAGTAACTTCTTCCGCTACATTTGTACCTTCTACGGTCTGCCCCTTTTATTACTTTGCTCTTAATATAGTTTAGCGGCCTAAAGATGTCTTTATCGAAGAGCCTAAGGACAAATGTCGCAAATCGTATAGGTTAAGCCTTATACGTTGTCGTATACAGTACTATAGCACAACAACTACGCATTTTCATTAAAAGTTATATTAGAATCGTACCTGCGTATAGACTCGGAGACAAAGAGATTCTATATATTCGAGTACTTAAAGTCAAAGATACACGAATGAAAATTACAAAACGTAGTTCTATAAGAAACGCTATATAAATAGCGTCCGGATTACCTTCGAATACCTATATTGCGACCTAATTGTCCCCTATCGGATAGTATAAGGCCCTAGAGAAACTCTCGCTCTACAAGCTCTACGGATGCATATATAGATAGGATGTGTTGCGAATCGATAGTAGCAGTAGAGGGCAAGGTAGGCTAGTTTACTGTTTCTTGCTACTAGGCCCGGGCGCAATCTAGGTATAAGATAGGTACTATAAGCTCGGATCGCGTATCTTCTTTAATGATTCTTTCTATATAATCCTTTCTAGAAGCCTAGTATATGCTGTATTGTCTAATAGTGCAGTATCTAGGTATTGTAGGTTGATTGTTCTAGTCTATAAGGATAGCTGTGTAGGACAGCTGACTTTTGTCCTCAGACCCTTGCTAACGCAAGGAGAGTAAGTAGGTACCATTCAGTTGAAAGTCCGATCGTAGAAGGTGCTTGTTATGCCTGCCTCTACTTGCGTTCAACCAGGAAGGGGCTGAAACGGAGATAGACCTCCTGGACAGTTCCTCGCGTTCGGTGCAACAGCCTTGGCATGTCAACGGACAGACATGGTGCTCAATCAGCAATCAGGTAGTAGAAGGCGATTTTATTCTTCGTGCTTCCTTCTTTCCATGATCAATGTGTCCTTGTGCTCCTCTGCTATGAAGCGAAGATTGATGAAATGATGTCTGGTCGTGAAAAAGTGTACATCTCCATCAAGACCTGGTTTGTCAGCGTCTGCCGCTGGGATCTCGCCTCGGTGTCGTAGCTGCTCTTCCCGCTTGCTTGACGGCACAGGAACGCGTCCGAAATTTGGCTGCTCGGACTTGATTCGTGTCGTGGAAGCAGGGTCCGTCACTGACGCTTAAATTTGGCACTCGATTTTCCAGTTCAGTCAGTTATCCGCCTACTTTCTTTGCTGGAGAATTTCAAAGCAATTCTTATTCTCCTACGACCATGTGAGTTCACCTCGAGCCACAACTCTGAAACCTTGCCTGATGCGTAGAGCATGGAGCGCAACGCCGGTGCGGTGGTCCATAGCATATTGATGGAGATCCTTGGACCTGCTGGATTCCGGTGATGGCTTGCAGATTTCCACCGAGAGGTTCATCTCCGCATGCTCTGAGAACGTGGATACAAGGCATTGGGCCTCGTGTCCATAAGAAAACCAGAAGCCATGTCCTCCACTCCGAGCATTCGGTAAGGTCTGGTAGTGCTTCACCTGATATCCAACTCTTCAGCCCTTCATAGCAGTTGAGACGCAGGCTAATCCTTCGTTGCCTTGGTGAGATCTACAAGATTGGAGCCGACCAGAATCTAAGGCGTGAGGTGATGTGGATCCAAGTACCTCATCTTGATGTGCAGCTATCGCACTCGCAAGATATCGGCTGATTTCCTCAGCCGCCGATCTTATATGAGAAAGGCATGTGTCCTTCGTGAGATCCTCCTGGTAGTGCTTCAGTTCACATTGAGCTCTTCAGCGCTCCAACTAAAACGAGAGTTGAAGCAGAAGGTCATTACCTTAGACCGCTCTATCTAGCTGAAGCAATACGAATAAAGAGAGCCGGGTGATACCTTAAAGACAGCTACCTCGCTCCTCAAGCCTCTCTCACTGCCATCACCTCACTCAAAAACAAAATAGGGAACTCGTAGGTACCTCAGCGATGTGTTAGGATTGAGCTTTTCCTGAGGTCTTGTGATTCCTTGTAGTAACTCACCTCAAATTTGACTCTGTGCTGGAGTAGATCTACAATACGTGCAACCAAATTTTGCATCTTTGGACTTGTCTACGTTGTCGAAGCAATTCGAGTTGCGAGTCGTGAAGGAGATAGCTTGGTATTGCATTCCCTCAGCAGCTCCAACTGTCATCGACTCACACAAGGTGCGAGAAATGCGCTCACTACCTCGGTGATGTGTCAATATAAGAAGACTTCTAGTGATTTCTTGTGGTAAATTACCTCGCTTTCCGCTTTCAACTCTCCGCTGTGCGCAAACATATGACACGCGCAACCGGACTCCATGTCCTCGGACTCGTGTACGTTGTGGGAGCGATCCAGTCTCCGAGGAACTTTGTGATAACATGGCAAGGCTTTACCTTCATCGTCGACTCCAACTGCTCTCAGGTTACATGAATGGCGAGGAAAGATGTCAAATGGTCAGCCGCCGGCCTGTGATGGAAGCAGATTCTTCATTCGGTGACTATCCTATTCAGCTCAATCCTCGTAGTGCTCCTTGCAACCCTCACATACGATCAACCGGCAGTCATTGCACTCCCACGCTCCTGCCTCGGCACCCGGGTTTCTCTGGAAGTGCACACCAGTCTCACTGACGTGGAGAAAACACCGGTTGCATTCCATATATCTGCAAAGAGAGCCATTAGCACACACCAGCAAAGCAAAGTCCATGCAGACTTACCCAAGATTGCCGTAGTTCTGGCCGTCCTTTGGAGATGCAAATTTCTCAAAGTGATGTTGGCAAGACCAGACCTGAACGGCAGGCTCCTTCGGCTCTTCGCCAAAATTGAGTCCACTTCCAGCCCATCTGCGAGAATGTTAGTGAAGTTTACTTAGTATCAGACTCAGCTCACTCACCGTGCTGCACCTCCAGCGTCGAGGTTGACTGGCGCGCGGAGCGCTTGGTAAGCTTCAGATAATGGAGGCGGAGGTGATCGTCCTTGCGTGAGACTATCAGCGCGTGGCGATTTTCCTGCATCGTCGCGGTTGCTACCATCCTCCGACATTCTTTCAGCGGCTTCTTCATATATCTCCTCGTGCTCATCCTCATCCTCATCCATGTCTTCGTCCATATCTTCGTCCTCGCCTTCCGAATCGAAGTCGCTAACGCAGTCACCCATGCAGTCGTCAATCGATTTCGCACAATTCCAGCAAAAGTGAGCGCCGCAACGGCATTGAACGTGCGCACAGCCGAGCATCCGCTTGATACCTTCGCGGCATCTAGGACAGCGCTTGTAGCCGTATTGTGCCAGCAAGGTCTCCTCGTGGTCGAGTTCTGTGGTGTCGCAGTCCGTGTCCGGATGCGCTTTCTGTCTGCATTTGACGCATATTGCGATGAGGCATGTCGGGCAGGGGAATATGTCTTGATGGGTGATCTGAGGCCTGTTATGAGTGTCTGCGACTAGTCGATCGGTGAGTTGTGCCAGAAGTTTGTTGTAGTCTGCGAACAGATTCATCGCAGCATGACCTAAGAAGAATTAGCAAGCGTTCATAACAAGTTAGACTCCGATTTTGGAGCTCGAATCTGTGAAGCGGGATTTGAATTTGCGAGCATGGCTGTGGCCAGCCGGCGGAGTTGGCTTACTTGTGGGGTGTGACGCTCCCATGACAAATTTTGCGTTCGTCGCGATGAGCGACATGTCTATCGTCAACTTCGCTGCGGAGTCGTACTCGCCATTGAGAGCATTCTGCTTGATATCGTCGAGGTCGATCGATTTGGGTACCCACTCGTGGAATCTGAGTGTCTTGCTGACGTTGTAGTCTCCCTGGAAGAAGCGAGAATGATGGCATTTGAAAAGCTCGTCGATAATTTGAAGCAGAAGATCTTGAAGGGAAGGTGCAGGTGGCGGTGGTCGCTGCTGCTTTGGAACGTTGCGTTCTGGGATGAATGCTGAACAGGTTGGCGAGGGGCCTGTGGACGCGTCAGTGACTCCGCGGAAGGACGTGGGCTGCAGAGCGCCGGCGCGCGAGCGGAGTCGTGAACTTACAGTATATCTTCGCAGGCGTGAGCCACTCTTCGAACTTGCGTCTGTATTGGTTCGCTTTGTCAGTCGAATATTCCGGAAGGACGGTGTGCAGCTGTATGATGGCGCAGCAGGAGGCAGGAAACATCGATGGCTCTTCCAGACTCCGGTCGAAGCGATTCCTGAGGCAATCCTGGCAGATGTGGCTTGGGCAGTTGCGGCAGGCGCGGATGAGGTCGGTGTGGTCGGTGCAGACCATACATGATGGCGGCGGAGGCGGAGGCGGCCCCTTCTTCTGTGGTGGCCGCGCCGGCGGCGCTGGTTGCGCTGGGCGCTCCATGATAACGGATGTATGTCGCAAGGCCGAAGTCGAAACGAGAGTCGACGTTGTAGAGGGGCAAATGCTCACGTCGAAGTGAGCTTGCCGCTGCTGCAGAAGCGCTTCTGCCTAACGCGACTGCCATTTTCACAGAAAACGCCAAAGTGAATGGGATGCTCAGGTGAGAATGGTGAAAGCAAATTATAGAGTACACGAAGGACTTAGCTGCGGCTATCCACCTCCTGCTCTCGCATTTGATGGCCCAAATGCCATTCCTCTACAGCTCCGACATCACTTCGCTCTCCTACGAATGCCTCATCTGTGGCAGTCAGTGTGAAGGCGCATAAAGCAGCGTGATGAACAAGAGAGGCGGTAGTTGAGAGCAATCATGGGACAGGAAGACGTGAGACGTGAATCCCTGCTCGCGTTGGGTTGGGTTTCTTGGCGTCTTGGCCTGGCCTTCACTTGGCTGCGTTGGCCTGTGCCCCTCACCACGCCCTCCGAAACACTCATCGACACTCTGTATCAAACCAGCCGCAAGCTCGGAAGCGCTCTCAACCAGCTCGGACAATCAAGATGTCAAAGATCAACGCGAAGCTAGACCACGTCGTCCTGCTGCTTCCGTACCAAGACATCGTGGACCCGCCGGCATGGATCACCGACAACTTCACCGTGAGTCCTGGCGGTCGGCATGCCGACAACAGGACCGAAAACAAGCTCGTACTATTCAAAGACGGCACCTATCTCGAACTGATAGCATTCATAAACGACGATCCCGAAAAGAGAGAAGGTCACTGGTGGGACAAATCGTATGGAGTCGTCGACTTCGCCCTGACCACCTCCTCCGAAGACTTCGGCGAGCTCGGCGGCATCAAAGATCGGCTGTCAAAGACTGATACCGGGATCTCATATACCAGTCCCAAAGTAGGAGGCCGAAAGCGTCCCGACGGAGTGGAATTACAGTGGCGTGTCACCTTTCCAACTGGTACAGACCGAGGCAGCGTTCCATTTTGGTGCCATGATGTTACGCCGAGAGATCGGAGAGTCCCTCTTTCTGACGCGGCGACTTCTCATCCATCTGGCGCATTAGGGATGGGTGGCATTTTGCTAGACGCTGACCCGTCTCTGGTATCGCGGCTATCTAACGCCACTGCGGCGATCTTGGACAAAGATTTGAATAGTAAGGATGGGACTTACGAATTGGATGTCGTACATTCGGTATCCAATGCTAGAAACCCATCGATCAGGATCAGGACTGCGGGTTCGCTGCCTAAGAAAGTTCTCGCCTTATCACTGGTCCTACAAACTCCCAAATCCGTTCCTGACATCCATCACACAATCGACGACGGCGAGATTTCTGTTGTGTTTGAGAAGACCACCAATTGAGACAAGCGAAACGGGTACCAAAAGAGACCAGTGGAGACTTCCTTCCAGAATAGACGTAGAGGACAAGCTGTGGCATCGTTACATCGAAAAATTGCAACCAAAGTGTCAGTAGTGCCATCGTCGCCGGTCACTCGCAAGATCTGTGACATATTCCCAAAAACCAGGCTTCAAGATCCAAACTCGGAGAAACATACATTCGGCGGTGTGTGTCACCCTTGGTGTCGTTACCCACAAATTTGGCAAGACGACGCCCTCTGCTCCACTTTTGGCAGCTGTCAGGTAGACAGAACTTGTCGAAAGCACCGACATTACTGTAGTCACATGGCCCAGGTTGCCGGCAGCCAGGTTGCACAACATACGGGACAGTGCGGCGCGCCTGTTAGACGATAGACGCGCGTCGACATCATAGGCTGTCAGGACGGAAAAAAAGTGGATGCGGCGTACAGTAGAAATTCTTGTGCCGGCTTGGGGATGATGTGCGACGGTATGTATCTCTCACGATGGTGAGACGAGTTTCTGGGAAGGGAAGTGGATGGGATGGATGAATGAAGCGCAGATTGTCACGCAGCCGGTTCCTTTGCAATGATGGGTATCTGTAATTACAAGGAAAATCGCCCGCCGCGCCCATTAATCCTATCCCATGTTTGCCATCAAGTTATCCATTGATGGCCATTTTCAAACAACAAACAGTAGTGCGTTGCGTTATGCGTGTTCAGACAGCCAGCCAGTGGTGTACACATGTTGCTGTCCTTAAAACATGCTCGAAGTTGGAGTTTTTCAAGTCCAACAGTATCGCGACGCCAGTGCCATTGCCTCCCCAAAAACGCCTTAAGAAGATGCCAAATGTAATGTACAATTCTTTTGCCAACAGTGCAGATTGCTCTGCAATTGCCAGTGGTCTAACCCATGATGTCCGTTGCCAATATGGTGTTGCCACCAGACCTCTACCCAACGCCAGTGTTTAAAAAAAAGGGTCCCGGGTCCGTAAAAGCAAGCGGTGGTCGAAAGGTGGTGAAATTAGGTATGCGGGAGTCGATGCCGCGCGGTAGTTGATGGGTGTTGTTGTATCATGTGCGTGCAGGAGGTGAAGAGATTGGACCGGGAACAAAGCCGCTAAGACATACAGTACAGTGAACGCTCAATAGGGTATTATGCTCGGAATCGAAAAGTGGTGTTGTGCGGTGTGCGGTGTGCGGTATGTTGTCGTTGTCGAATTTGCGCGGCGGAGAAGTGGTGCGCAGATGCGAATGCCAGGGCGGTTCATGCATGCAGCAGCAAGGTAGCTGCACTGCGCTGGCGCTGTGCGGTGGATCGGCAGTCGGTAGCTGCAGCTCTGCAAAGCCAAAGCCAAAAAAAAAAGTTGGCAGCTTCGGCTTCGACAATTGCTCGGTGGAGAAACATGGCCAGGGAGCAAGAAGGATACTACCGTCTCTTCGGTGGTGGTGGCTTCGGTTTGGGCGTGCTGCGACGGCGTCAGATTGCGGCATGCGAAAACACAACGACACCGAGGCACCTTACCCAGTGGTGTCATAAGCGCCGCGACCCATGTTGAAGATTTGGGAATCCTCTCTGGTAATCATGGAGACTGAGTCTGAGCGAAAAGTCAGCAGGTGCCGGCGGACGAGGCAGATTTTATAGGGCTTGTGGAATGCGCTGTCGCACAAGGGAGCGGGGATGAGTGGATGACTTACTCTCGCAAGGGCAGCGAGGGCCTGTCAGAGTGGATTGCAAGTCACGGCGCACCAAGGACGAATGGGAAAGGAGGCTTGCTTCTGGTTGCAAAATTCGTCGGAGGCCGATTGTGTGCGCAGGGTGTATCAAAGGCGAGCTCTGGAATGCTGTCGAGATATTGCAAATAATGTGCGCAGACGGTTGCGCAGCGGGCTTCTGGGCTGGCTGCAACAGGAGTCAGGCGTGCGCCTTGGGGATGTCTGTGGCTCGAAGAGACGAAGGAGCGTAATGAGGTAGCGTGTGATGGTGGTGAAGGAGAAGGCTGGACGGCTGGCGTCGAAGAGAGCGACGACGGTCAGAAATATGTATACATTTGCGCAAACGACCAGGGAGGTGGGATGGGAAATTCTTTTGTGAGAGCACCAGGGGCATCGGCTCAGACAGAACAATCTCCCTCGCATCATGAACGCACTGGCCGCGGAAGACACACCCGCTGCAAAGTTACAAACAGCCCGACAAGTTACAACGACACGACAAGGAGCAGCGCAGCGCAGCTCAGCGGCTCAAACTAGGGGCGGGCTTGGATCGACACAGGCGCTTGACACGCTAGTCTGGTACCTGCATCAAGGCGCTGCCGGCCCGCGAACAAGAATGCATTGTGGCACAGCGTCGACACATCCGCGTCGGCGTCCGCGTCTGCACCCGCATTGCGTCGCTGTCGTCGCCGTCGCTGGACCATTACAGTGGCGAGATGGGCTCAGCACGCCCGCGCAGGCCTATCGCCGATCGCAGACCGATTGCTGGCTGACCGACGTCCCTGCTGCGGCCATATATGTACGCATATGATACATTGCAGTCACTGCGAAGTTCTAGCGTGCGCGCTTGTAGGTTCTAGCGGGGCGCGGAGCGAATGCCCGAAGTATAATCGATCGTCCCATACTCCTGGAGCATCGCTAGCCATTTCCGGCAGACGGGGAGACGCTGGAGTGGGAAGCTTGCCGACCCTTACCGTACGCGGCACGTCTGGCCAGCGAGCCGTCCGCCTGCACCGACCATCACGATGATTATTTGAGCGCTTCCAGGCTGCGCTGCCCATCGTGACTCAGGTGGTGAAAGGAGTGCTTCACTGACAGTGCGCATCGCAGCCACACTAGCCTTCCTTGCCTTCCCTGCCCAACCCAACCCAGCCCCATCCCAGCCGGCCCATCGTCCCGTGGAGCTGGCTTCTGGCACCGCAAGCCGCAAGTTTGATCGCATCGTCGCTAATGTCGGTACTCGTCCACCGCGGGCGCACGCTATGCCAGAATGCCACTGACAAGCACCGCTCCGCTTCCGTCCACGCTTCTGCCACCTCTTCCCTGCCGCCGTCGCTATATGTCGCAAACATGAAAAGCGTATCGTCGCCATGTTCCTCTTCTGCCGCATCAAACTCGACGTGTCCAGCATGCGTGGCCTGTTTGCTTTCCGCATCCCTGCCTCCATCCTGGCCTCGCATGCTTTCACTGGCACCGCGCGGTTTGCCCTGAACGCACTAATGGGACGGCGGGACAAATCCGAACCACCATCTCGCATCGCTTATGCGAACGCCTGCAACTTGTATAGCGATTGCCTTCCCGCTGTAAAACACGCCGCATTTGGCACTCGATCGCGCTCGTGAAACGCTGGCCCAAGCGCATGCGGCAAACGTCTGACAGAAACGCATACCCTCTTGTTTTTGACACATCTTTGTTTCAACGTCCATCAACTTCAGAGTAACGCGACTGTGCCCTACGCCAATCGCTCTCCCAAAGCAGTCAGCTGCGTGTCTATCCCGGTCCAAAGCTGTCATCATATCCCGGTCTTCCAAAACAGCAAACTTTTCCCGCATCTTCGATTGGAAGCAAGCGACCGAAAGCATGGACATGCGCCTGCAGCAATACACGTGGTCTTACTTTTTGTATCCCTTTCTCAGAGTGCGTATACCTAGCCGTCGGTGGATCGGTGCGCCATACTAAATCTTCCACCGGTTATCTTGCTGTCGCTATCCACCGAGTCGTATACCGTCAAAATCGGTGGATTTAGTCGGTGGAAAGCAATTAATTATCTAAGCGTCGTCCGAGCGCGGTATGCTATATCTAGTAGGTATAAGCGTCTACCGAAAACGCGGTTTAAAAGTAGGTTTTCGGTAGAAAGCGCGTTCTAGTATATAGATAGCTATATTCTTCTTCTATACTATTGTCGCTATTGTCTCGAATACTAGCTCTTTCTATAGATACTAATACCTAAGTCGCGCTCTTGCTATTTATAATGCTTAGTGCTTAGTTTACCGCTATCCTACCCTTCCTACGTCGAGCGAAGTAGAAACGATAGTATAGACTAGTAGGTATAGTTTAGACGCTTATATAGCCGAAGAAGGGGAAATATAAGGTATTTCGAGTACTATATAGACCGCCGCGCGATTGCTACGAAACGACCGGATTGCGCTAGGCTATACTAAAGGATCTAATTAAGAAGGTAGAAGAGCGAGGTCTCGTACGGTCGAGGGGTAGAAGCGGCGAGTTAACGGTCGGTAAGAAGATAGTTATCTATTGCGACTTTATAGTCTATAATGTTAGTATTCGCGAGCTTCGAAGGAATTATTAGCACTCGTATAAGACCTTCTAGCGCCTAATTAAAGAGGTTAGCGTTGCGCTCTATTTAATAGCGGATATATATATTACTTAGCCGGACGACCTCTTACTATATACGAGGATAGTTATAGGTGCGGATGCTAGCAAATTTAAGTACTTTAAAGACGCAATCGGAGCGCTTAATAGCACCCTAATTCCTATTAGTATTCCGTAGTCTTAGTAAGGTCTATACCGCTATAGAAAGAACTATATCTATTAGAATGTAATAGCGGCTTACGGCTTCGATATAAGGGTTTATTATATGCTTGTCGGCTACGAGGGCGCCGGAAATAATAGACAGGTATTAAAGAAGTCGTATTCGAAGGGATTTAATATTCTAGCTAGCAAATTCTACCTCGCCGATAGTAGTTATTCGTTTAAAGATAAGCGACTTCTCGTACCGTACGAAAGGACTCGATACTACCTTCGAGAACAAGCCGCTACTAGACGACGTCCGGATAATAAGGAAGAGTTGTATAACCTACGATATGCTTAGCTTCGCAATGTCGTAGAGCGCCTATTCGGAGTAATGTAGAAGCGCTTCCTACTTATTAAATAGGGACCGCACGATAACTATTCGAGTCGCTCGTAGTCTAGGTTTATTATATCCTACTTCGTACTCTATAACTTTATCCTTTGCTACGGAAAGCAGCCTCTTCGAGCGGAACCTAAGGTTACTACTAAGGAAGTCGAGGACTAGGAGGACGATAATAAAGAACTAGTTATCGTATCGGACTATAAGGATCTATATTAGCTATTCCGTAAGTCGTTTGCGTAGGAAATGTAGGATAATTACGAGCAATACCTAGAAGATTATAGTATAGATAAGAGGGAGGTCTAAGAGGCCGAGTTTTAGTTATAGAGAATTGCTAAGGTCGTAGCATAATTAATCGATGTAGTAGGGAACAGGCAAGGCTATATTATATAAGGAATTTAGTAAGGGTTACTGCTTTTGAGTTTAAATAGTTATATTCTATTGCTACTAGCGCTTTCTTCGTCCTCCTTCTATATCGTTATGCGTCTAATTATCTAGAGTCTTAGTAGCGCGAGGTTAGAACTAAGGTTCGAGTCGTTAGTATTCCTTTTCGTAGCAGATATAGACTATGTACGTAACTGCGATTTAGCTAGTAAAAAGTAACAACACCTTTATATAAATTAATAGTATAGACCCTAAGCTACATTTCCGACGAAAAAGTAACCTAATTAACCGAACTCTATACCTAAAAGACTACTTTCTTTAGCAAAAACAGACTCTCTCTTAAATAACAACACAACTAGCTACTATCGGCTATAACTATAAGGAATAAAGCCTTCCTATATAGTTGTATAAGCACTATACATGTTGTTATTAATAGCGCTTACCTGTTAATGCCTAGGTTTAATATCCTATAGCAACTAGCGGAAATACTCGTCTAAATTCGACCTCTTGTCCTTATCTCTTATCTACTTCCTAATAATAGCGATATAGCTAGTATTCCTTGCTACTTCTATCGCAAGGAGGGCGCGGTCTGCTTTGCTAATCCCCTAAAGGATGTCCTCGTCTATAATCCGATTAGCAATATTACTAGTATCGATATCTATATAGTACTTACGGCGCTCGTCGAGTATAGCTTTCTCTTCCTTACGTACCTTCGCACGCTTAGTAGTAGCTTCTTCGCGAGCTAACTAAGCATCATCCCTTATCTACTTTAAGAAGTTAGCAAAGGTCTGCTATAGTAGAACCTAACTCTTCTTAATTAGGTTAATTATCGCCTCGTCGTCCTTCTCGCCCTTCGAATTAGTATCTAATTTAGCCTGCTTCCGCGCCGCTTCCTTCTTCGCGATATTAGCCTTTATATAGCGTATAGCAACAAGTACCTAAATCTCTAACTCCGATAGCATACTAATATCTAACTCGCCGTCGACGTCCGCCTCTATTAACGCGTCTCGCTCCTCGACCGTTATCCCTTTAGGTAGTAGAATATCTACCTCTTCGTCCTTATCCTCGGACTCTACTACTATATCGTTATCCTCGTCCGCCGCTATATCTACGTTGCTATCGTTAGCAAGCTCGCTGCCCGTACCTGCCTTGTTTCTACTCGTAATATTAGTCTCGATAATAGTAAAGAGCTTGTATACAAAGTCCGGACAATCGTTACGCTATTACTTACATTTAGGGTGCTTCCTAAAGTGCTTATTTGTAACCTCTAGATTATTAGGCGCTACTAGATAGCTATTCCAACCGCTTATATACTTTAAATAAGCGGCATATAGGTAGTACTTCTTTTTAAACGTACGCTAGCGCGCCTTACAACCCTCTATCTTAAAATATAGCTTAAACTTTATACTTAACTAAGCAGCAATCTAGCGGTAGTATTTAATATAGAAACTATTGCTATAGTTTAAACTTTAATAAGGCCTTATCCTTTAACTTCTATATCTCCTTAAGGAAGTAAACCTTATGTTTATACGTCTATCTACCTACTTCTAGAAACTCGGAGCTTATATCCTTCTTAGGGTCCTTCTTAGCTACCTTCGTCTTCTTTACTAGTGTCTTTTTAGCGGCATTGTTAGCTTTCCGTTTACGAGGTATTGCGGACGTATTATTAGCCTTCTTTAGCGGTATTAGAAAGAGCTAGAATAGTAGATACAATAGTTAAATACTAGGTCTATAGATCTACGAGGTACGTAGAAGACGCGACTATAGAATAGTCGCGATACTAAGGCGGAATAACCTAGTGTACGGCCTTCGAAATCCACCGACTCGTATACCTTAAAAACCGGTTATTCGAAAAGAAGAGCATCGGTGGATTTTTTAATAGTATCGCCAATCCACCGATCTACCGACGGCTAGGTATACGCACTCTCAGAACAATCAAGCATGCAAGGTGTCTCTCTCTCTCGTCCTCATCCCGAACCGGCGCTCCGCAGAATATCCAGTGCAGCAATGCTTGTCTTTTGCTGGCTTGGTGAGGTCACTGATTTCAAGGATGAACACTGAACAGCACCAAGACATCCTTACCTGGCATTGTAAAGTACTCCACTATGGGGAATATCCGAATATCGAAAGTGGGCCAAGCCAAGCCTTGAAATGATGCTTTTCGGATGCCATTGATATCATCTTCTCGAAAATGGCGTCGCTGCCAAAAAGCAGGACCATCATTCAAACAAACCGGCCAAGCTTCGGATCATTGTGCATGCCACACTGGCTGCAACATGCCCATTTGACGTTGCATTCCAGATGTCGGGTACATCGTACCTGCCCACGAGACAGTACTTTGAAGTCATGTCTTCGCCTATCGAGCTGATACCTAATCCCGACAAGCCAGGCAGGTCCTCTCGTCATACTACCACTGTGCCCGTGGACTGTGTCAGACCATCGGCCGCCGAGCTGCATTGACGAACCCCACCAATAATAGATAGAGGCACCTGGCACGAACAGGTCAAGTGGGATCTGCAGATGCTTACTGCCACAGCTTCTAGAAGGTCGATCGCCGTATTTGCTGGGCCTACTTTTGGAAAGGTCTGAAGAGCTACACCTGGAGTGATGGCACCGGCAATCAGCTCTGGTAGGAGTTCGGCGGATCAGACCACCTTTACACAGCTTCCAATTCCGTTTGTACTGCATCGCGGCATTTCGTCAGCTCATGGCAACCAGGATCCGAGTTCCAAAAGTATTGGTGGGAGCTCTACGGAGGAATGTGAACGAACTACCCAGAAGGATTACGAACGCAAACCGAAGCACTTGCCCGTGTGGGAGAAGCTTGAGACTTTTGACAAATGGGGAATTGCAACAGCCAGACGATGATGTACCGATTTCGACCCAAAGAGGTTCGTGACAGCAACCACACCACCACTTCGAATCCAGCTGTCTTGGAAAGAAGTCGCTGTAAATCGCTCGTCCATCACTGGTCGCACGAGATGCTCTTGCATTGCGAGCACGCGAGATTCCGAATGTCTTCCGCACATATGCCTGCCTTCCGCCAGATTTAGTCCTTATTGATCGCCTGCTCTTCAACCGGAGCTTTTATGCGCTCGTAACAAGGACACTGCAACATTTACAAACATGCGTGTCAGCCATGCAAATGTCAGCGTACGATCAATCCCGAGGCACAACGAAAGCGCTACTTTCCAACTGAAGGCTGTCCGTCTACGTTCATCGGAGCGCCGATCCGAACGAGGCATACATATTCTACCCGCCTGAAGAGATCTGCGCGAGCATTCTGAAGATCAAAGTGTCGTCGCTTATTAGGCCAACAAGGTCCTCCCAACCCAACACTTTGACAGCAATTTCCGACCCAGCAACGAGCGAGACGTGCGGTGGTCATATCCGCGATGTTGTTGGCATGATGAAAGCCATCTATTCACGGCTACAGTAACAACATCGGTCCTAAACTCTCTTACTCGGCATCTACCACTCCTGCCGAACACAAACTTTCAAGGAACCATTCACGGCTCCTTCACAGGGCCTGCACCTTGTCAATAATAAAAAATCTCGAAGTGCTCATACATACATACCAGACTTCCCGCGGAAGCCATCGGACCAATATTGCGTCGTGTTTCGTTAGAATATAGGGCTGTGCGCCGACGAGGAACCTCTCCTCGCCAGTTCGCTGCTTCGTATGTCCTGCTTGCCTTTCCTTGCAAAAACTTTCCCGTTGACTTACATATGCAGGAATGCATCAGAGTCTAATTTTATCCTTGAGGCCTTTCTAAACGACGGAGTCGAATCCGTTCCTATCGAATCCGTTCCAAGTTTGTGAGCTGGAACGCAACGCTCTTTTTCGTAACGTTAAGCCTCAACGCTCAGATGGTGCCTTGATGATACCACGATGTAGGTTAGGTTGTGGCTTGTATGTATACCGTCTCCACAAGGAGATTTTTCTTTCGTCAATTGCACGTGCGGCAGACTTCCCTTTTCCTCTAGTAGCATTCATCAGACATCCAAAAAAAAACCTCTGATTTGCGTAATCTCGTGCAAAGTTGAACATCTTTCTCTTCAAATCTTCTCTTTTTTTTTCCGTAATAAGTTCATCAGCATACATACATACGTCTCAAATCGCCACTGCCACTACTGCCACTGCCACGCGTTGCAAAGATCCATGTCTTTCCCAACAAAGCGAGCATCGGGAAAGTTTGATGATGATGCGAATGGCATTTCCCTGTTGGATCGACATCCTTGTTCGCAAAAGGAGGGAGAGCACCAATGGCCCAGATCCCCATTCATGGCCTTGGATTGACTTTCACGAACCGGCTTCGTTGTGCCGGCCACGCAGACTTTTTTTTCTTTTCGGCCATACATACTTTCATTTTGACGATGGACATTGTGTGACTGCCGTCGACCCGTCGTGCCGATGGGTTTTTTTAGGATTTGTTTCAATTCTGTACCAAGGCGGGCCGAGGGGTAGGTTTTTTGTGGAAGCTGGACCGGTTTCCTGTCCCGATGAGCTGTGTTTGAATTATGCATGCCATTGTTGTTGAATGTGATGTCGGGGAAGCATGGAGGGAGCTGCCGCTGTGAAGATTTCGGGCTGGGGTGGGAATCTCTCTTTCTGGTTGGCAAGGCAAGTCTCGTTCACCTCGGCTCTCACCATGTTCCCCTTCGATTCGGCTTGTCAGAGTCGCTGGCATTTCAAGATGATGCGAAAAGGAAACATCCCACAAGCATCTCAGACACTATTCATGAAAATTTCACAATGGCAATGATGAAAGCCATCCATATCCCAAAATTCCACGGCGAGGACATCTCCACTCTCTCCCCATCCGAAGTCCCCGTACCAAAACCAAAGCCCAATGAGTTTCTAATCCGCATCACGCATTGCTCGCCTCAACATGCCGATATCCTACACGCCCAAGGCAAGCACCAGAATAACACCAAGCGAGGATGGTGTCATCCGCCTTTTGTATCAAGTTCCTGAGGACTTTCTACAAAAAGGCCACGGGTTAACAAACGTGCTTGCAGATCCTTGGCTACGACTTCGCCGGAATCGTACAAACCCTTCCCTCCTCCTCCTCCTCCTCAAACGGCAGACGAAACCACAACCTCAAAAAAGGTGACCGCGTGTTTGGTGCCAATATAGGCGCTTTTGCAGAGTACATCTGTGTCACTGAAGACTATATTCAACCTGTCCCCGAAAAACTTTCGAGTGAGACTGCAGTTGCCATGTCCGGACAAGCAGTTAGTTATGCTTCTGTCGTGCACATTGCGAAGGTGCAAAAGGGGGAAACAGTCCTAGTCAGTGGAGCGAGCGGTGGGTTAGGCAGCGTTTGCTGTAAGGTAGCAAAAGCTGTAGGAGCTCGAGTCATCGCACTCACAGGCGACCGCGCGAAGGCGGAATTCATGAGAAGAGATATGGATGTTGACCGAGTAGTCGTCATGGAAGAGGGATGGATAGAGAAAGTCCTAGAATTCACTCGCGGAAACGGTGTCGAAGTATGCTTGGATAATACCGGGATGGTCAACGACGCCATCAAATGTCTGGCCTATTTCGGTCGCGTCGTGATTCTCGGCTTCGCTGCACGGAAAGGGGTGATGGAGGAGGTTAAAATGAATAAACTCCTTCTCAAGTCTGCTACTGTCATTGGATACCGTTTTGGTGAGAGTGGGAGGAGGTATCCGAAGACTTTGGAACAGATTTGGAAGGGATATCTTGCAATGCTGGAGAGCGGTCGCTTGAAAGCGATGATCTTTGGAAAGTATGAAGGCTTGGAAGATATGGGCAGAGCGCTGCAGGATTTACATGATCGTAAGGTCTATGGCAAAATTGTGGTGAAGGTCGCTGATGTTCCTTCACAACTTGGCAAATTGTGATGATACAGGAGTCGTCGTCGCCGTCTTTTTCCTAACCACTTTTCTCGGCTTGAGAAAGACTTCTTCCAGGCATGAGAACACCCAAGTCTTCGTTTACGGCAGCAATATCGATTATCGGTGTCAGCACCGGTCGGCACAGCAGACACGGCTCGGCAGCCTCATCCTCATCTCTTCGGCACATCCATGCATCTAAGCGAGAAGAACGATGATGATGGTTCACACTAGTCTGACACGCGTGGGCTGCCGACGATTCTGCAAGGTTTGCATCAGTTCGAATCATTCCTTCGAAGTTGAAACGTACGATCATGTCGCAGGATTTCGGCCTTAAAACGTGGCGAGTCAGTGGCCATGAATCGGGGCTGCAGACGTGTCATGGCATGACGTGTGGAAAAAGTAGTCGATGATATTTGATCGTAGTATGCGTTCGATTATTGCTGATGTCTATTCGTGGAGCTCGGAGAAGGCTTGTTGTACGTGGAACGGCTTCAGGTTTGGGGTGAATCATGGGTTGCCAGTCAGCTGAGAGAGTGAATGTCATGGCAAAGATGAGTTGGATTTTTCTCACTGAGCCAAAACAACAGCAGCTCTCTACCACGCTTCGACATTTATGTGCGGAGTACAGCCACAGCATTTGGAGTCTCGAGAATCTTCAGACGGTCTGGGAGAATGCTTCAGTAGTAGGGCACAGGCGCCTTGGTTCATTCATTAGTTAACAAGAATGTTCTGGATGTTAGGTAGTTCGGGTCTGACTTCTCCCAAATCTTTAGCTTACTAAACGAGATTGTTTGCTACTGTGCAACCTTGGCTGGTCTTGGGAGTATGCGCGAAATTCTACTCTGATCAATATACGTTTCACTTCCGGCGCATGTAGGGATACTCATTGACGCCCCGAGGCGTTTCTACGGATCCCAAGGTCCTTTCGCTCTTACTCCAGTCAAGATATCCGGCAGCCCATCCTCTTTGATGAGTAGGATATCTTCATGACGGACGCCGAACTTGTCGACGATATAGATGCCAGGCTCGCTGGTGAATGTCATGCCTGCTTTCAACAGCGTCTGAGTGTTACCCTTGTTGAGGTATGGAGATTCATGCGCCTTGATACCAATGCCATGACCGACTCTGTGCGTAAATGCCTCGCCGTACCCAGCATCCTCAATCACTCCCCGAGCTGCCAGATCAACATTGGCGCATGTACCATTCTCATGTAGTGCGTGGATGCTGGCAGTCTGGGCATCAAGAACAATATCCCAGACTTTCAGCTTCTCTTTGACGTCCTCGCTAAGAGCAGAGATCTCAGCTTCAGTCTCAGGTTTCTTGAAGAATGGAGGGAAGAAGCTCCGGCAAATATCGCTGGAGTAGCCGTAGAGATGAGCCCCGACATCAATGAGAACCATAGTCTCCTTTTCAAGGACTTTAGCGCCATCTGTGCCGCCGTGTGGGTTCGCAGCATTCTCATCAAAGAGGACGATGTCGAAGAACGGATCCATGCCAGCTGAACGCATGGTATTGTCGAGGACCCACATAACTTCATCTTCACTGAGGCCGGGAGTCAAGCACTTTCTCATAGCACGAACAGACTCGACAGTCCCCGTATTGACGGCTCGCAGAATACCAACCTCCGCATCAGATTTCGTTTGACGGACACGCTCTACTGCTCCACCTAGGCCGCGAACGTCGAAGCCATTGACACTGAGACCACGAGAGATGAAGTCTCGCATTTCTTCATCGACCATGACTTTGGGTGATGTCTTCTTATGAGATGCAAATATTGGCGAGGCGAGGAGTGTTGCGTAAGGGTTCCAATGTTCTTCGTAGGTCACCACAGAGATCTCCTCTTCAAATGGCATTTTGAGCAGGCGGGCTCGCTCAGCTTCGAATGATGGTACAAGAAAAGTCGTGTTAGAGACAATCTTGCCAGTCTCGACCTCCTCGGGACGAACAATCATAATGAATGGCCTTTCTTCAGGTTCCCAAACTTCCCAGTCAGGCTGCGAAACATTTGCGAAGTACTCGAATGTATAACCTGGCTCTACCATGAAAGCCTCGAGACCATCTTCATGCAAAGCTTCGGCTAACCTGTTCCTCCTTGTCACGAATTCTGATACTGGGAGTGGCTCCGCAGTGTCCAAGAATTTGAGACCAGTGTCCTTGCGAAGATTGTGAATAGAGCATTTCTGGAATCGTCTAAGGTGCCGTGGAATATCGTTCAATGGAAGTCCTCTTGATGACATTTCACAGCCAGAAGTCGTCCCAAAAGTGATGCTCGAATTCGGAGCGATGAGATACCATGGTTGCCAGAATGCTAAAGGAATGAGAGTGGCCAGGCCGATGACACCGAGTGTTCTTCTGGGCTTGAAGCTCCCGCGCGATTCTGGGGCATTTCGCCATTGCGGCAGGTCTTCGCGTTTGCACGATGCCATGGTCTGAGATTGTTGGATGGATGGAGCAGGAGCTCGCAATGAGTTCCAATTCCGATGGCAAGCATCGGCCAGTCGGCAGCAATTTACCCGATAGACTAGGCGAGCGGCCAAAAGGTCGCTTCCAATTCATCTTCCAACTCCTCAGGCACGCATGCTGTGATGGCGGCAGCAACATCTGTTGGCACTATCACCATCTTGTTCTCTTCATTGCCAAGCGTCAGCTCTAGCTTGCAGTCCATGGAGGCGCCATGTTCGATCAAGAATGCGATCGTATGCTGTGTATGCGATCGTAGACCATCTTCTTGTAGTACTCCTCGAGATCGCTAGGAAATTCCCACAGGCACCGACGAAGTCGTTTGAAATCAGGATCCACGCCTGCACGCTCGCAAAGTGATTCGACGACGAGATTGCCCCAGAGAAATACCCCATCTGCGTTGTTAGCAATTAAAGAAACAAGTTGTTCGATTTCGCTGCTTGTGAGTCCCGTGTTGGCCAGACGAGCCGCCGCGAAACATCGCAAATCTGGGTAGGTGCGATCGTCCAATTGAATATGCATATCATCCACTGCTGGGGGAAATGATAATCTTTCCGATGAGCGAGCGGAAACGCATATCCTCACATTTGTCATTTTCGAAAACTCCCGTAATTTATCCCGCACAAAAGGATGCCTACTTGAAGGTTTGCATTCGTCCAAGGCGTCAATGAACACGCAAACCTCAAAATCGGCACTTTGAAGGCTGCGCACAAGGCTTTCCCAGAGTTCGGTCTCATTCCAAGGTTTTGCCCAGACGAGTCGAGTCTTGTCCCAGCGCGGCTTGAAAGATGCTTCAATGAGGTTTGAATCGGCCAGACAAAGTTGATGGAGCAAATTGCGCATGAGGCCAGAAAATGACGTCTGCTCGTGGATGCCGTCGTACCAAAAGAAGTGCCGCAGTACCAAAACTTTCCTGTCTCCGGCAGATGACTGCAGTAGGCCATGAATGTCCAAATTATTGACCATGAACTTCATGAAAGTAGATTTACCAGAGCCGGCCTTGCCCATTACCCATAAGATGTCTTTTCGCGGGAAGTTCGAGATCCAGTCTCCGAAGCCGGATGTCGGACGTACAAGCCAGGTGAAAGTTCCTGTGGCAGCTTCCTGGATTCTTCAAATCGAGAATTGTAATTATCGTATGGTGACTTAACACCGTCCAGAATTGCTGTGGCCTTATCCGGCAGGGCTGGGCTGCACTCGTAGAGTTCGTTGACGTAGAAATCACCTGCATGGATTCTTGCGTGCCCGCTGGCTTCGATATGGGAATATTCGTTTCCACATTTGCGTCGCTTCCGCGGCGATGCCATGCCGCTTGATTCACAGCTTCAAAGCGGCGACGAGCACCCGCTGGGCTTCAATGTCGTAGGGACACATAGAATTGAGAGGCCGCCCAGGTTTCCACGTGTGCACCGCGAAGTTGCTGGTTGCCTTGTCCGAATTTTGGCGCCATGCAGCTAGGCCTAATTGCATAGACGAACTCGTTCCATTGGCCGACAAACAGGTGATCGACAGCCAATTATAGAACGTGAACAATGTATCTATGGAGCGGAGCATATGGTTCGCATTGCTGCCAGACCACGGAAAGTTGAAGACTCGAAGTTTTGTTGTTGTTATTGTTGTTGTTGAGAATTGAGTGTAAGCAAAGCATAGTTCATCTCAGAGCAGCAGCAAAGTCCGCGATAGGGACATTAAGTCATTACTTCTTGCTCTGGCTCTCCTTACTGATATTCCGTCTGATCCCACAACAGCTGTTCGGATGTTCCAGGATGCTGCTGCCATCCCGTCGTACTGTTCGCCCACAAGTACATCTGGCGCTCCCTTTGGGTAGTTCATACTCATACTTCGTTAAGCCCTTCTCTACGCAGTGTTTGATTGTGGAGCGCTGGGTAGTGTCAACAACAGCTTTACAGAGGCATCTGATCTTCTCCTCATTGAAGGCTTTCCCGTCAATTTGCGCACTGCGATCGGCATTGACAACAATGCCACAAGAACATATTCCAGAAATCCTCGGGATCTGACGGCCGCATCGTGGTCTTGGGCATGTGATGGGACTTGCTTCGTGGTGCGAGCTTCCGTCGGAAAAGACCAAGTATTTGCATGTGCACCTAACACAGCCTTGCGGGAAACCCGGGGAGGACTGGGTAGTATCGTTGTGCTTTCCGCATCTGCATTTTATTGCCTTTGGATCAAGAGGTACCAGTTGCAGCGGCTTTGTCGGGGTAGGTGTTCTGGCTATGCTCTTCCATCGGGAAAATGTGCCGGACTGGGGCATGCTGGAAGACGTGGCATTGATTAAAAGCTCGAGAGTCTCGGAATCCTCGACAGGCTGCACCAGCAATGCGTATGGAGACTCCACAGCTTCTTCGTATGATGGTGGGGACTCCTCATCTACCTCGTTTGTGTCTGGTTTATCCGCATCGTTCTTCTGCATTTCTTTCATTTTGACGCGAATTGAGAGCTCAGGATTAGGCACGAAGAAACGCTTGATGAGATATGGGCAGTGAGAGTTTTGCAGTCATTGTGCGAACCGCACGCCTTACCATGGCTGAGTAGCTTTGTGCTGCGCATTGCCAGATATTGAACGATTTGCGGTCACATGCGTGGCGATGCAGCGCTTGATCAACCAGTGCATGCATGTGGCGTCTGCCAGGTATGCCTGCATTGAATCAGCGATGCAAGGTGAGAGAAGGTGATGTTGGTGTAAGAGCAAGAATGCCGTTCCAGCTTGTTGCGGGCCTCCGTACAGAGCAGACTGCAGTGGCAGGTGCCGTGCTAATCACAAGTTGATTGGCTCATTGGTGGGAGCCAATCAATTCAAATTAGGCTTTGGCGCTAGCAACAATACGCGAACGGGACCTCAGACTCTCGATACATGTCGCTTTCCATCAATTCCCTTTCTTCTCCTTACATCAACATCACCCTTTCGCAACACTCGGCGGCGGCAGAGCTCGACTCGCATAGATCTACTACTGCCGTTGCTTCCCCGAGTGCGCCATTATTCCACAATCCTCGACAATGAGCAGCATCCTGAACCAGGACTTCCCCGATGAGGAGGAAGACGATTTCAACCCAGCGCCTCAGGACGACAGTGACAATGAAGACGACTCAAAGCCTGCAGTTGGAGACGATGACGAAGAGCCCGCGCGAGGCCGGTCGCGAGCCCGAAGCGCGCCTGGAAAGTATGAAGATGAGATGAAGGAGGAAGGAGACGAGGTTAATGGCGACGACGAGGGCCAAGACGCACATGACGACGAAGAGGACGAGGAAGACGAAGAAGAAGATGATGAAGACGAGGATGATGACATTGGTCGACCAGCGAAGCGACGAAGGCAGAGGCGAAATCAGTTCATTGACGTCGAAGCCGAAGTCGACGAGGACGATGAGGAAGAGCCGGAGGAGGAAGATGATCTTCCTGGGGAAGAGATGCACCCGGATGACCTTCAGGAATTGCCACCGGGGGCGGACAAGGACGACCGCGCACACAGAGAGCTCGACAGAAGGCGAGAGCAGGAGGAAGCTATGGACGTCGAGGAGACCGCCGCCCGGCTGAAGGAGCGATATGGCAGGCAACAACGTGCCACTGGCTCTGCATCGGGCGTCATCCCTCAACGCTTGCTTATGCCTTCTGCGGACGATCCCCGCATCTTCGCTATGCGATGCAGACCAGGCAAGGAGCGCGAGATCATATTCGCCATTCAAAACCGGATAGTCGAGCGACAGAGATCGCGCGAGCCTTGTCAGATCTTCTCTGCCTTTGAGCGCTCGGGCACTGTCGCCATGGCTGGTAGAATCTACGTTGAAGCACGACTCGCGGATCATGTCACGGCTGCACTCGATGGTATCACTAATGTTTTCATGGGTACCAAGCCTTTCATGATTCCGGTCGAAGAGATGCCAGACTTGCTCAAGGTGAAGAAGAGTAAAGAACTTCAGCCTGGCATGTACTGCCGACCCAAACGTGGACTCTACTCTGGCGATCTCGCGATGATTGAAGAAGTAGAGGCAAACGGCACAGAAGTACAGCTCAAGCTTATTCCTCGTCTGGACTATGGCCTCACAGAAGATGCAAATGCCATGGCAGCCGGCGCACTGGAGCCTGACGGTCAGGGCGGTATGAAGCGCAAGCGAGTCCCCCCGCAATTCAAGCAACGACCACCTGCGCGACTCTTCAGCGAAAATGATGCCAAGAAGAAGCACAGCAGGTATCTTAGTCGTCCGGGTGGTATTATAACCAACATATGGACCTACCAGGGCAAGGAATACGTGAACGGTTTTCTCGTTGATACCTTCCGTATTGCCCACTTGCAGACCGAGAACGTAAACCCAACACTTGAAGAGGTTACCAAATTCGCTGCCAGCACCGAGGATGGTACGGAGAATCTCGACCTGGCTGCGCTCGCTCAGACATTGAAGGCAAGTGCTGGTGCAGATTACTTGCCTGGTGACAAGGTGGAGATCTTCCGTGGTGAGCAGAAGGGCGTGACTGGTCGTGCCAGCGAAGTCTACAATGACGTGATCAAGATCAAGGTAGACAGCGGATCGTTGGCAGGCCAGGTTGTCGAAGCACCTATTCGAGATCTGCGCAAGAACTTCAAAGAGGGTGACCATGTCAAGGTCATAGGAGGCAGCAAATACCAGGAAGAAGTCGGCATGGTAGTCCGAATCAAGGACGATCGCGTCACCATTCTCACCGACAGCAATCAACAAGAGATCAGCGTCTTTGCAAAGGACTTGCGCGAAGCCACGGATAGTGGTGGTACTGTCGGCACGAGCCAGTACGATCTCTTCGATCTGGTGCAGCTAGACGCATCTACCGTGGGCTGCGTTGTCAAGGTGGATCGAGAAAGTCTGCGTATTTTGGATCAATTGGGTGCAATTCGCAACGCGTTGCCTTCCAGCATATCGAACAAGATCGAGAAGCGCAGAGAAGGTGCACCTGCAGTCGATCAACAAGGCAACGAGATCAAGAACGAAGACAAGATCAAGGAGTATGGCGGTGAAGGTAGAGAGGGCAAGGTGTTGCACGTGCACCGAGGATATGTCTTTGCTCAGTCTAGGGAGCTGAGAGACAATGCCGGTGTGTTCGTTGCACGTACCAACAACGTCCTGGTCATGGCTGCCAAAGGTGGCCGCATGGGAGGAGGTGTCGATCTTACGAAGATGAACACAGCACTCAAAGGACCAGGAGGCGCGGGAGGTGCAGGAATGCCCCCACCAATGCAGAAAGGTCGCGACAGGCTCATTGGCCAGACTGTTCGAATCAAAGTCGGCAACTACAAGGCTCACAAGGGTATTGTGAAAGAGACAGATGCCCACGGCGCCCTCGTCGAGATTCATGGCAAGACTAAGAAGCTCAACTTTCCAAAGGAGAAGCTGGCCGTGATCCATCCCACGACTGGCGAGAAGATTTGCGAAGATGCCAGCACATTTGGCACGGGACGCGGTGCTGGTCCACCTGGTCGTCCTCCGCCATCGGGCATGCCGCCTGGAAGAGTTCCGACGTACGGCGTTCCACCAATGGCCACTGGAGGTCGGACACCAGCTTACGCCATGGGAGATGGAGGCCGAACTCCAGTAGGACGAACGCCAGCTTGGCAAGGATCTGGTGGTCAGACTGCCTACGGTGGAGGAGGCATGACTTCGTATGGTGGTCAAACTAGCTACGGCGGTGCGACCTCATACGGCGGTGGATCCGCTTGGGGTGGTGGAGGTGGTGCTGTAAGTTCTCATTCGATTCTGCAGACGAACACAGTCACTGACAACAATCTGCAGGCGTCGACCTGGAACCCCAATGCTGGCGGTGGCAGAACTCCAGCATACATTGCCAATAGCGGCAGCAAGACACCTGCATATGGCGGCCTTGAAGCTCCCACCCCAGGAGCTGACTATTCTGCTCCAACACCAGGTGCAACCTACACGGACCAGCCTACTCCAGGCGCATTCAGAGGCGGTCAATATCAGACACCTGCGAATTGCGCTACACCTGGTGGCTTCCCGGAAACACCTGCACCATATTCTGCGGAGACGCCTGCACCCTCGGCTGATGACGGACCACGTTACGAGTAGAGTCCGTACCGATGATCTGTATCGCGAACGCCTCTTGGAGGGGCCGTTTTTGCGAAGTTAAAATGCTTCTTGTTGTAGCATAGCGAAGGTTGGGTGTTATGCAATTGTATCAGTATCTCCATTTTATTATGCATAACGAGCGCTTGCGCCCAGATAGACAAATCAACGAGGCAGATTGCCGCTGTCTACTACTGCTGTCCTCACTGTGACACAGACTTGCTGCTACTTCTTTCGTAGCGAGTTAGAATTGAATTACATATGAAATTTGAGAACGAGTGTTACACCAGCTCGCCCAGAGAAGCCCCCCACAGCCTCCAAGAGCGACAAGCCTATTCACCTGCACTACGCAAGCTATCACCGCAGAAAAGTCCTCTGCAGCATATCCAGCATTTCTGGCCTCCACGACCTACATCAAAACCCTCTCCTTCTCGTTCTCTTCCCTTCGATTCAATTTCAACCACCACTAACTCCTCTCCATCACCTCCTCAGGAACGTCCGATCCACTCACAACCTCAACCTCCCAAACCGCACCCTTCTCCCCCTCAGTATCGATGAGCGAATTCTCCAAATCACGATCCCTACCAATCGCCACCTGCTTCCCATCACTTCTCCGCTTATAAGAAATCCAAAACTCATCGACAGGATCCGTCCACTTCCTAGCTACGATCTCAGCACCGAGACGCGTCACTTCGATGGAACTTAGATCTTTCAGGTTGGTGTCGTCTGCCACGAGGGAGGTGAGGCGTTCGGTGAAGAACTTCTCGGGATTTTGACAGTTGCGGACGATGAGGCGGCGTGTCATTCGATGGATTTTCTGGACGGGGGCGTTTTTGGTGCGTGCTCTGTGGTGGGGACCTGGAAGTAAGGAGGCGTTGTGACGTTTACGGACCCAGGTTGTTTCGTCGCGGAGGGATGGGGTGTTTTTCATGTATTGTGATTCCAAGACGAAGAGGTCGCGGGTGGCTTTGAGGCGGATGTCGTAAGGGACGCGGGCGATGCGTTTGGGTTCTGGGTCGTAGTCGTCTGGCATTTGATAGCCGAACCTGCATGGATGGGTTAGTGGTGGGTGCTGGTATATCAATTTGGATGGTACTCGTACCACTTGTTGTCCATTTCTGGTTCCATTGGCATTGGATCTGGGGCAGAATATTCGGGGAACTCTGCCATTACTTCGGCAACTAGATCTGCCCACTCGACTAGGCCGCTGTCCTTGTTGGACGAGAACATCCAGTACACGAGCTCTTCGCCTTCGCTGACGGTGAGGTCTTTGAATAGCATTTTCTTTGAAGCGAACTGGCCCGATGGTCGAAGAAGCTTGTGGCGCACGGAATCTCGCACCTGGACAAGGTCAGAATATTCTATACGAACTAGCCCGTAGAATCTCAGGCGTACCTTATCCCCCTCATCCCATGTGCAGTTCCAAATTTGACAGCGTTCCATGGCTGTGGTGCGCTCATTAGTTGCTCGGTAGCGGCGAAATGATGCTGCATCTGCTGGCGGCATGCCTGCCCGGGGAATAGTTGAGTTGTTCTTCCGGACAACCATTTTAGGGGATCTTATGTTTGTATTGTTCGAGCGTGACAGCGCGCGATCACTCCTTGTGCAAAGAATCTCGAGAGCGGCGGTCGTGGTTGGTGATGCTCTGATTGTGTAAACAAACATTGACACTCCAGCCAAGCGGCATGTGCGTAGATTTCATGCGCAACCGTTGGGGGCTCAGCAGCACCTCAGCCAGCAATTCATATTACTCGAGTCGTGGTCCACTTCTTGTTGGCGCCGCCCACAATGCTGCTGCTGCTGCTGCTGCTGCTGCTGCTGTTGCAACAATTTTCCTCCTGCCTCTATGCATCACCCACTAATCAGCGAAAGCTCGCTGCTGCCAGTTGCCGGTGGATGTAGGGCTTTCACGGGATCAGGAACTCCAGCGTGGATGGAATTGGCGTTGATTTCCTTTTGTTCTCCAATATCACACCCTTCACCCAATCTGGCTTTGCTCTTGCCTACTCGGCCACATCCAGTTCTTGAAGTCCTTGTAGCTCCACCCGACTGTCTCCTTGACCTTCTCCTCCACGCGCTCCAGTTCGCTCCTAGGACCAAACTTGGCCGTTGCTTTGACGCAGACCTTGCCATCCATCGTCTCCAGCGTAGCAAAGTACTCATGATCTGCAATTCCGAATCGCACATTGTCTTCCGTAGCCCAAGCCGGCTGCACTCTTACAACATGGAAATTGTCTGCATAAGTGGGCTTTACATAGTCAACACTCAACTGTGCCGGTTCTTGAGGCACTACTGTGGGCGCTGGAACCGTAGCATGATTGCCCGCACCTGGCAACCTCTGCGGTCTAACAGCAGCGTTGAAGTTCTTGTCCACCCCGTGTCTTTCCAGGCTTGCAGCAAGCGCGATCTTTTCGGTCATAAGAGTAGCCAGCAAACCTCCATGCGTAACTCCTGGCCAACCGCTAAGCGCACCTCCAAGCCATACGACTGCCACAAGCTTCTTATCTCCCCGATCCCAGAATTGTCTTTCAACTCCCAAGCCTTTCGCGCCTTGCAATGCGTCTGTCAACCTGTCGTGAAATGGCAGCATCTCGCTCCTTTCGGGACCAGCGCTCACAGCAGGCATGATCTCAACCCATCCCCCTTCTTCACCTCGAAGCATTTTGGGCACTGCCAAGCATTTTCCACGCAGCACTTTTACTAGAAACTCCTCTTCTATGCGCTGGTTCAGATCTGCCATGAGCACATTGTCTGGGTCAGTACCAGCTTGTGGCATATGCGACGCTGGAGAGAAGAAGTTTGCCAATGCACCACCTGCTATTAGGCCTAGTAGGAGCGGCGCAGACAACCACAAGTATCGTGTTCTACTTCGTGGTGTGGCATCGGGAGATGTTTTGGAAACTGTAACTCGGGCGTTGGATTGAGCAGCGGTGGACCCGAATTGACGCAGGCTTCGATATCTCAATCGCGGAGTTGGTCGCAGACCATGGAGGAGAAGAGGCCGAGGGGCATTCATATCGTCGTTGTGGGATTGTATAAACTATTCCGGAGCACGCAGAAATCGAAGGTGTTGTGCCGGCAAAACTGCGAGCATATCATTCGCCTCGGCGCTCGGGAACCATGGAAGCAGGGATCAGAAGCTCTACTAATCACGATAATCGCCGATGAGCAATCATCCTCATCATTGGCAGCGCAGCTGCCAATCTAGACACCGCGGCCACCGCCCGCGAAAATCCAAGTTGTCCGCCAAGACCGAAATGATTGGCTGAGAAATTTCGCAGAAGTAATGTGCAATCAAAGATTGAAGGGAAATTTGACTTACCCCGGATTTCAGCGTAGAACGTCAGTCGAAACAAATATTAGAGGGAAATTTGACTTGCCCCGGATTTTAGCGTAGAACGCAAATCGAAAGCGCTTAACGAACCCCGGATATAAGCGTAATGCGCTAACAAAAATTCAGTAGGAGCTTACCGTATACTAAAGACCTAGATATAGCTATATCCTACTAAATACGAAGCCTATCGACTAGTATAAAGGTCCCTATAGCGAAAATGTTAGTAAGACTACTAATAGTACTATTGATTTTAATAAAGCTATTAGTAGAGCTACTAGTAACTTTAGACTATTAGACTATTAGTAGGGCTACTAGTAGGCAACTACTAGTAGGGCTAGGTATTAAGAAAACTATTAACAAACCTATTAGTTAAACTATTAGGTAAACTTTTGCTGTTAGATAGACTATTGGATAAACTGTTGGCTAAACTGTTGGTAAACCTAATAATAGAACTAAAAATAAAACTAAAAATAAAACTAATAACTCAAATAGCACTAATAGTAAAACTGTTAGTAAAACTACTAATAGGACTATTAATAAAACTACTAATAAAACTAATAACAAAACTACTAATAAAACTACTAGTAAAACTACTAAGACTACGAGCTAACCTACGAATAGGACTACTAATTAAAGTACTAAGACTACTAACTAAACTAGAAACAAAACTATTAACAAAACTACTAATAAAACTATTAATAAAACTACTAATAAAACTATTAAAGAAACTACTAATAAAATACTAATTAAAATTTTCGTTAAACAGAAACTAGTAATCGAACTGCTAATTAAACTATTAGTTAAATAGTTAATTAAGCTATTTATAAAATTACTAATAAAACGACTAATTAAACCACTAGTTAAGCTACTAGTTAAACTACTAATTAAACTACTAACGAAATTTTAAATTAAACCGTTACTAGTAATTAAAATGCTAATCGGACTACTCGCTAAACTACTAATCGAACTACTAATCGATCTACTAATCGTCCTACTAATCGACCTACTAACCGACCTGCTAATCGTCCTACTAATCGACCTATCTCTATTTAGAAGCTAGTAACTTAGTACTATATACTTTAAATTATATAATTTATCGGGGGACTAGCTACTAATAAAATACTAGTTAAAACTTCCGTTAGACTAAAACTAGTAATCGAACTCCTAATTAAACTATTAATTAGATATTTAATTAAACTGCTAATTAACTTGCTAATTAAACTACTAATTAAACTACTAATTAACCTACTAATAAAACTACTAGTAAAACTACTAATTCTACTACTAATAAAACTACTAATTAAACTACTAATTAAACTACTAATTAAACTACTAATTAAACTACTAATTAAACTACTAATTAAACTACTAATTAAACTACTAATTAAACTACTAATTAAACTACTAATTAAACTACTAATTAAACTACTAATTAAACTACTAATTAAACTACTAATTAAACTACTAATCGAACTACTAATTAAACTACTAATTAAACTACTAATCGAACTATTAATCGAACTATTAATCGAACGATTAATCGACCTACTAATTAATATACTAATCGACCTATCTCTATTTAGAAGCTAGTAGTTTAGTATTATTATTTATATACTTTAAACTATATAATTTATCGGGGTACTAGCTACTACTAAAATACTAATTAAAATTTCCGTTAAACTAAAACTACTAATCGAACTACTAATTAAACTATTAATTAAACTACTAATCAAACTACTAATCAAACGGGTAGTTAAACTATTAATTAGACTATTAATTAAACTACTAAATACGTTTTAAATCAAACTATTACTAGTAATCGAACTTCTATTTAAATTTCTAATTAAACTATTAATTAAACTATTAATCAAACTATTAATCGAACTATTAATTAAACTATCAATTAAACTATTAATTAAACTATTAATTAAACTATTAATTAAACTATTAATTAAACTATTAATTAAGCTATTGATTAAACTCTCAATCGAACTATTAATTTAACTATTAATCGAACTATTAGTCGAACCGTTAATCGACCTCTACTAATCGACCTATCTCTATTTAGAAGTTAGTAATTTAGTATTCTACACTTTAAAC